CGAGTCTGCACCGCCAGGCGCGGGGAGCCCGCTCCGAGCGCTGCGCCCCTTCCATGGGTGCCGCGCTCGCCTGCAGCCGCCGCCGCCACAGGGCGGGCGCGATGCCACGATGGGCCTGATCTGGCTCCTGCTTCTCAGCCTGCTGGAGCCCGGCTGGCCCGCTGCGGGCACCGGGGCGCGGTCGCCGAGGGATGCGGGCGGCCGCGGCGGCGTCTACGAGCACCTCGGAGGGGCGCCCCGGCGCCGCAAGCTCTACTGCGCCACCAAGTACCACCTCCAGCTGCACCCGAGCGGCCGCGTCAACGGCAGCCTGGAGAACAGCGCCTACAGTGAGTGCGGGGCCCTGCGGGGCCCTGGCGGGGGTTCTCGCCGAGGAGCGGTGCCCAGGAGGGCTCGGTGCTCGAAGGGGGTCCGGGGAAGCACACCACCCATGGGGTGCCCTGGTCTCTCACCACGTCGGGGAGGGGGAGCTGGGAGGCTCAAGTCCGAAGAGGGCGCGGCGAGTGGTCAGGGGCTCCCGCAGGGCTGTGTTGGGTGGCCCTGGCAAGTTTGAGCCTTTTGAGGTTTTCACAGAAAAGTCTCCGGACAAAGCATGTGTTACCCTCTTTATTGTTTTGACAACCTCTCTTGCCCGCCCCGGGGACCCCGCAGTCCACCCCGCGCTCCCGCTGGTGGCCGCCCTACGCGGCTGCCTGCGCGCGGAAAACGCGCGTCTGAACCCAGCGGGGTTCCCGGGCTGCGGCCACCGCGGCACAGAACCATTTTCCCGGGCCGGAATCCGCAGCCCCCCAAGGCCAGAGAGGGGCAGGGTGGGCGCTCGCGCCGCGGGGTGGGGTGGGGGCCGCGTGATTCTGGTTAGGTCGCGGGGCGAGGGCGCAGACCAGCTCCCACCCCGCCCTGCATCCGGAGTCCCCCGAGGCCCTGGGGTTGGCTTCTCACGACCAGGGGCCTGGGCTAGTGTCCAGCCGTCCTTCGAGGAGCGCAAAGCGAGCGGGGCAGGAACGCAGTGAGGCGCGCGGGAGTGTGGCGGGGTCTCGGGCCCGGCTGCGACGCGCGGCTCCCGGCTCCCGGGCGCAGGACGCGGCGCGGTGGATGCGGGGCGGCGGCGGGAAGCGGCGGCCTGCTCGAGGAGCCGCGGCCTTGAGGGGAGGGCGTCTTCCGAGGACGCCTCCGGAGCCGCGCGGTGGAGACTAGCAGTGGCCAGGGCATCCCTCCCTGCTTGCAGGGCAGGGCTGGGGGAGGGCCCGCGCTCGCCTCGCGGCGACACTCGGGTTTTCTCCAGATCCAGTCTCCCCCTCGGGGTCGCAGAGCGTCCGAATTCTTGGGGGAGCCAAGGCGGGCCGCCTGGCGTCGGCAGAGGAGGGCGCGCGCCCGCAACCCCTGATGCCCCGAATCCAGACGCGCGCTGCTCTGGTCCCCGGCCTGCGCCCAGGCACGCGAGACGCCCGCAGCCTCCCGGGGCCCGGCGTCTTGCCCCTATGATCGCTGCCCTGCCGGCGGCTAGGCGCGCGCCCCGAGAGGTGCCCCACCGGAGGGGGCACCGGCTGACGTCCCAGCCCCCTCGGGCTTTTGTTGCAGGTCGTGAGAAAGCGCTCTTGTGTCCAGAAGGAAAGCACGAGGGGAGGGGGCTTAAACTTACCACGTTCAGAGAGGGGAAGCCAGGCCAGCTTCCCTTTGTGAGCCCCAGGGCCGAACCCCACTTCCTGCTGATATCCTGTACCCCGGGAGCCACCCTGGACATTACCTTCCACCGCGGTCTGTTGCCAGTGGGTTTGGGTGCCACCCGCAGTGCACGTCGTGGATTATATTTTCAGCTGACTTCACCCAGGGCTCCAGCTGTCCCCGCTCCTGGGACCCCACAGGTACCCCAGCGCAAACTGTGGGCTGGACAGCTCAGACCAGCATCTGCAGCCAGGGCTAAAGTCCGGCCCAAACACGTGTGTGCCGACTCCGGCAAGTCCCTCAGCCTCCGCAGCCTCGGCTTGCTTGTCTGTCAGATCATGACACCAGCTCGCAAAGTTGTTGAGAGGTGCCAGGGAGCTCCTCGTGCTGCAAAGCCCTGTACCTGGCACAGAGTCGCCTGGCAGAAATGTTACGTTGTGTTATTTCCCTCCCAGATTTGCGATCTTCTCCTTGAAGTATGACTTCCCTGATGCTTCCCCCTGCTTCATTTCCCTTCCAGTAATTTCTCTGTCTTCTGAACTTCCAAAGTCACCTCCCCGTGGGTGTGTGTTGTCTCCACACACCCACCGCCTGCCCAAGCCTGAGTGTGGTTTTGGACACCAGTGGGCACTCAGCCTTCACCCGGGCTTTGAGGGACACAGGAGTGATGAGCCTTCCCAACTCTTCCCAGGTATCCTGGAGATAACAGCAGTGGAGGTGGGCATCGTGGCCATCAGGGGGCTCTTTTCTGGGCGGTACCTGGCCATGAACCGGAGGGGACGGCTCTACGCCTCGGTGAGTGCGATCTCTCGTGTGGGTGGGCATGGATAGGGCAGCCATCTCCATCAAACATCCCATCTGGGGCAGAGGGGTTGCGGGCAGTGTAATGGTTTGTCCAGGAAGGTGTGGGGCCCGAGGTGGGAGCCACCCCAGCCCCATGACTCCGCACCCGCTGTTCTTTCAGCTGCTTCTGTTAGAGGCGGCTGCCAGCTTGAGTGCCCTGGAGCCTGGGCCACAGGGAGGGGCACCCTGGGGGTCAGAAATGTCCTGTGTTCTCCAGTGCCATCAGGTTAGAAAATGTCCCTCTAAGCGTTTTGTCATCACCGCTACTGCCTTCGCTCAAGGTGCCCGAGCACAGGGGAGAGATCGTCCTCCAAGTTTCCAGTGAAATAAGTGGGCCCCATGCTCCCTGAGGCGCAGCTGGGTGTGTGCAGGGCACCAGCTCTACTCTGGGTCGGCCAGAGCTCTCCTGGGAGCGGGGAGGCTGAGGAGCATGGCGGCGTGACTCAGCCGGTTCTCCCCAACAAGGACAGGCAGGCACCAGGGCTCTCAGGCAGGAGCAGAGAGGGCAGGAGATGAACCACGTCCTGGGCACACAGGTCTGGAACCCAGTCTGTCTACCACCTGGGCCTCAGCGGCAGGAAAGGGTCCTGGGACTCTGGGTGTTGGCAGTGTCCCTCCCACAAGGATGGGGGTGGGGAAACATGGAGTGGAATCCGTGAAACTGGGAAATTTGCTACCTCCAACCAGCCATTACGTGCAATTCAGCTGATACCTCCTTGGGCAATGAGAGGGTTTCCACCCACATATAGTCCAGACGATGCAACCCAGGACCATCTCCCTGCGGCCACCTCTCTCCATTCAGTCGTGTTTGGGGGGGCTCACCAACACGGCCCTGCCCCCCTTGAAGTCAGGTACAGTGTGATCAAAAAGAGTTGCAAGAAAACCCCCTGAACTATGTACTTCACAGATTTTTCACAGTTTTCCTAAAGAAGATAGACAAGTTGGAATATACTCTTTGGTTTTCTCTGACGCAGGGGCCACTTAATAGAAACTGTATCTTGGAGGGGGTCCGGCCTCTTCTGTGTGTACTTCCAAGGCTGTGTACACCACTTGTGGCTTGTGAAGACGTGCCCCTGGCCCAGGGTCTGGCCTGCCTCTTTCCTGAGGCGGACTGTAGCTTTCTGGACCCTTCAGGCCCTTTGCCCCTGGTGCCGGGAGAGTAGAACTAACTCTCTGTTCTCGAAATGGCCTTAGACCACCACAGTCACTCCTGTCCCTTTTGGAGGGGGCCCCAGGGGAGAGCCTGCTGGCTACCGTGATGGTGCTGGCCCTGCTGACCACACAGGGTCTCCTGTTCACATGGGGGAAGTTCACAGAGTGAGGCACGGACAGCTGGATCAGGAGAGGTGTGAGGCCCATGGGGGACCCAGGCCCAGGGCTTTGGGGGACCCCGACAGGTCAGGGTCCACTTGTGACTTCCATCCCTGAATGCCGACAGTGCCAGCCTTGGGCAAGGAGGAGGGGAGTTTCCTTCCCCACAGGGGAGAGCCCAGGAGGTCTAGTCAGAAGGTGCGGAACTTTTCAGAGCACCCAGCAGAGGTGTGACTGCCCCGCAGGCAGTCTGGGAGGCGAGGCCCCTGCCCCCTGTGCCCATCCTGGGCACCAGCTTGCCCGCGGGCACTGCCCCCATGGCCCCGCCCCTTCCCTGCCTGGGTTCCCTGGTCTTCACCAGCAGCCTGCTTCTTGCCTCCCGCTGGCCACCCATCCCCTTCTGTGGGTCAGTGGCCACAGCACCCCGACAGCTCCCAGTTCCAGCCCTGACCTCCTGTCTGGGTGACAGATCACCTCCGAAAAGCCCTGATGGCTCAGAGACCTCCGGCAGAGGGCAGCACACCCCAGCTGGACTCGGCAGCTGCCCTGCCTCCCCTGCCTTAATTAGGGCCCCGCCAGCCACGCATTCAAGCCCAAGGTCAGCTGGGAGCCTTGGCGACCCACCTTCCCTCCCAGCCCTGCCTTCAGCCCAGCCCCCAGCACCCACCGTGCCTTCTGAACCTCTGTTCAGTACACAGCCCTTGCCCCTCTTTGCGTTATGCCGTGGCCAGTGTCCTTACAGCTCAGGCCCTGTCACCCCTGCCCGGATCGCCAAGCAGCCTGGGGACCAGGCTACCCGCCTCCAGCCTCTCCCTCCACAAGTCCACCATCCGTCTAGCCACCCGTCCATCCTTCCTTCCTTCCACATCCGTCCATCCCTCCATCCGTCCAACCACCCACCCACCAACCACCTTCCACTCCTTCTACCTGCCCATCGTCCACGCACCCAGCCACCCTTCTACTCGTCCTTCCGTTCATTCATCTGTCCATCCATCCACCTGCTCATCCAGCTACCTTTCCCTCCTCCCTCTTTCCTTCCATCCACATCCTTCCATTCATCGGGCATCTATCCAACCATCCGTCCATCCTTCCTTCCATCTGTCCATCCATCCATCCATTCCTCTTTCTCTCCCTCCTTCTGGCATTCATTCATTCATCAGCATCCTGGGCACTGACCATGTGCCACACTCTATGCTAAATATAAGCTTAGAATGTCTTCCTTAGATGCAATTCTGCTCATTAGCACAGCCTCCAGGAACTCCCCCCACCCACAAGTGGCCACCCAGGTACCTCAGCTCAACCCACAGAGAGGTGGCCAGACTGCCTTGCGCTCCCACCTCCCACCTGCACTCCGTGACTCACGTTCCCACCCCGGCAGCGGGACCCTCCCTTGGCGCTCCAGAGCAGTCCGTGCTGCCTGCCGGGCCACGCTTTAGCCCTGCTGGCACTGCTCCTGTCACCAAAACTGCTCACTAGAAAGTGCCCACCCTTCCCTAATGGCTCTCCGAATGTCACCTCACTGGGCAGGCATTTCTCAGCCCACTTCCTCCTCACGGCGCCATCATGCTTGCGGGAAGCCACCTTCCTGCCCTCCTTGTGCAGCCAGCCCCCTGGCTGGCCCCCACCCAACCCCGTGCCAGCCGCCCCTGCGCCGCCTTTTCTGGAGCAGCTCTGAGTGCTGCAAAGCCTGAGAAGGAAGAGTGGCCTCCCCACGGCTGAGGTCAGACCGTGAAGAGTAGAGTTCAGCAGGTGGAACCAGGCCAGGGGGTGCCTCTGGGGGGACCCTGGGGAGCAGAAGCCTGGGGTGGGTGGCAGAGACCAGTCTGACACTGGACCTGCTGGGAGCTCGCCGCAGGGAGTCTCGGTTGCCACTCCCTGGCCTCTGGGGCCTGGCACTGAGCCGATGCCTCCCTCTGTTCCCCTTGGTCCCCAGAGGACCCCCGATAATGTGCATGCAATGCTCTGCCTGCCCCAGGACCACCCTCAGGAGGGCCTCAACTCTTCCACTCTGAGGCTCGCAGGACTGTGTCCCTGCTATTGCCCCCCACCAAGTGCTTCTGCAAAGAGAAAGCCAGTCCCCAGTCTCCTGGGTGAAGGGCCTCGACCCTGGATGATGCACTTTCTCCAGGGCAGAGGGGCTGGGAGAAGGGCCAGTCCTGCCTTGAGGGTCTCACAGTTCAATGTGGGGAACAGACCCCAGTGCAGCATGTGTGATGTGGGGGAAGCCTGCCCGGTCCCCCCAGGTGACCTCAGTGTGTGTGATGTGGGGGAGAGCCTGCCCGCTCCCCCCAGGTGACCTCAGTGTGTGTGATGTTAGGGAGAACCTGCCCACTCCCCCAGGTGACCTCAGCATGTGTGATGAGGGGGAAGCCTGCCCGGTCCCCCCAGGTGACCTCCGAGCCCCACGCCACACAGTGGAGGGGCACAGACCAAACCAGCTTCCTAGCCCTCTGTGATTGCCAGCCTGGGCCTCAGTTTCCCATCTATAAAGTGTGGAGGCTGGTCCTAGGTGGTGGCATCCATACTGTGACCCAGGGAGCGCTGGGCATCCTCAAAGGGGAGGCAGAGCACCCCCAGTTCAGCCGGGGCACCCACCCTTACCTCTGGATTTGCGGGTCATCAGGGAAGGGGCGCTTGCTTGGTGCTCAAATGTCTTGCTTCCTGAGGTCCTGCCACATCACACGCCGCTCCGTTCATAGGTCTGACCACGCCAGCTGTGACCCGAGAGTGGGCCTGTGGCCCCTTGGGCCCGTGCACTCAGCAGCTGGCCCAGTCCTCTGCAGGTGCAGGCAGACCATGGGGGTCTCTTGCTCTTACCCACTCTTGGGAGGGAGGCAGGCCGCTCTGCCCACCTGTCCCTGCCCCCAGCCCTGCCCCTGGGCGCAGTGTGAGGAGGGATGCATGGTGTGGGGGGGCGGAGGGGTTCCCGGCAAGCCCATCTGCCCCATCTGGGACTGAAGAGCTGGGGAGGCATGAGGCACAGCCACCCCTTCCCCAGCCTCCACCTGGGGAGGCCGCACAAGGTGGGCCCTGAGGGACACAGGTGAAACCTTGTTCCCAGTCTATGCTGAGGGCAGGGCGCCTGGCCTCCACCCTGTGCCCACGGTGACCTCTGCTGAGTTAGTCTCGCTGATGCCTGCTGGTGCTGGGGCCCTGCCTCCCAGTCCGAGAGGGCAGCGCCTGAGCACTGGGGAGCGGGCACTTCCGCCCAGGCCCTGGCTTCTGCTCCACCCTATGGGGCAGGGACCCCAAGGACAAGAAGGAGACTCTCAGATTCAGGCCGACCCGCATTGAGTTTAGTGCAGAACCTGGGCCCGTACCCCCGGCCATGGCCCCTCCGGTCCTCTCTCCACATGTCCCCACGCTGGGGTCAGGGCAAGGGGCAGGGGGGCCGGGGGAGCCGGACAGGGACCCAGGAGAGTCCGCCCTCCCAAGGCGCTCGGGGAGCCTCAGCAGAGGGGGGGACGCTGAGCTGCATCCTCCAGGCGAAGCTCGCCAGGGCCAGGGAGAAGGCCAGGCCCACGTGGGGGGCGGGGGGGCAGTGGTGCGCTGGGCAGAGGGCACAGCCGGCGGGGCTGCGGAGGGGCGGGGGTGCCAGGCGGCAGCAGGACGGGCAGCCGGCCAGCAGGAGTGGTGAGGGGCAGAGGCCAAGGCGGCCCCTGGGCCCCATGGTCCCGCGGCTGCTGACGGTGGCGTGTCCCTCAGGAGACCTACACGGCCGAGTGCGAGTTCGTGGAGCGCATCCACGAGCTGGGCTACAACACGTACGCGTCCCGGCTGTACCGCACGGTGCCCGGCGGCCCCGGGGCCCCGCGCCAGCCCAGCGCCGAGAGACTGTGGTACGTGTCGGTGAACGGCAAGGGCCGGCCCCGCAGGGGCTTCAAGACGCGCCGCACGCAGAAGTCCTCCCTGTTCCTGCCCCGCGTGCTGGACCCCAAGGACCACGAGATGGTGCGGCTGCTCCAGGGCGGCGCTGGGCTCCGCGGCCGTGTGCCCAGGCCACCGGGCAGGGGCCCGCGGCGCCCGCGGCGGCGGCGGAGGCCGCGCTTAGCCGCCCAGGCCAGCGGAGTGGCTCGGCTTCAGCCTTACGACGGCGGCGCAGCGGCAGGCGCGGACCAGCCAGTGCCCGAGTGTCCCGTCCGAGCTGACCGCCCGCGCTCGGCAGGTTCCCGTGACTGACTGCGCCTCGCCCCTGCCCCTGGGCTGCTGCAGTTCGAGGACCAGCGGAAGGCGTTTCCAGCCCTTTCTGATTCTCTGAGACAAGGCTCGCCTCGGACCTGGGGGCCCCGAGGCAGGGCTCGGAGGGGGGCTGCTGTAAGTCAAGGCGCTGGTAGGGTTCTGTTGGCAGATTGCCCCCCTCGCCCACGGGGAGAACCCACTGAAGTGCCCGGTTTCCAGCCCACCGAGGAGTCTCCCTGCCGGGGATCGCCGTGCTGGGGGAGGGCGGCCACGGAACTTTAAAGTACTTTGTTATTTAATAGATGATGATGCAGCTGAGGAGACACTTGGCAGTTTTCACTCCAACAGGTTCGCTTGTGGTGACAGCAGCGTCCCTGCCAAATTGCTACTTGAAGATGCAGGATTGCATTCTGAGAAACTGGGCTCAAGATGCATTTTAAACCCCTGGCTTTGAAAATTACTGTCTTTTGAAACCAGTAGATGATTTGTGTGGATGTCAAAAAAGGCACGTTCACGTGTGTGGGCCAAGTGCTTGTGGATTCCTTTGAGTGCATGGATCTGGGTGTGCGCTCCCGTGCCTAGGTGTGTACGTGTGTGTGCGTTCGTGTCATCCTGGCTATGTTCCGACTGTGCTGGGTGTAAGTGTGTGGGTGCACATGTGTAGAGGAGAGGAGGAGGCTTACTTTGTCCGGAACTCAGGAGCAGCTGCTCTGCGTGAGGCTGTGCGTGTCTCCGCGGGCAGTTCTGAGCACCTGTGCTGAAGGCCAAGTGCGACTCGCCCAGGACTCCTGTCTCCTCGTACCTTCCACCAGGGCTTTGAGCTTCACCTAAGAAAATGAGGCTTTGAGGTCTGGGTGGCGCGATTTGCCAGGGTCTACAGCCAGTTGGTGGCTGAGGGCCCAGGTAACTTCCCTGTCCCACGCACCTGCTCTGCAGAATGAGGGCCTGCTGGGCAGGGCTCCCGTACCCAAGCCGGGTTCCAGAGATGGTGGCATCGCCGATGCCCTGCCCCGACCTGCCCCACCTGCCCCCAGGCGGCCTGGCACCTGTGCGCAGGAAGCAGTGCTCCCCCACGCCTCCACACAGGGGCGAGGCCTGCCCACGCAGAGGGGCTCCTCTGTCCAGTTTGCACATTTACAGGACCCCAAAGCTGGCAAGGCTCTGTCCTGGGGGTGACTGTATTCTGGCACCGCCTCCCGCCTCGTCCTCGGCCACACCCAGCATTGGACCCCTCCACCCAGCTCTCCCCAGGGAGCTGAGGGGAGAGGTGACTAGGTGGACTGGGAGGCTGTCAGCCGCGCTGCTCGCCCACACCTGGGCTAGGCCCAGGGAGAGTCTGCCCTGTCTGTGTGCAGCCAGCAGACAGGGACCCAGGGTGCGGGGTGCTGAACCCCCGCCCCGGTGCCCTCTGGATCCTCCCTGAATGGGGAAGGCCTGTGGGTCCTGGGTGACCAAGCTTCAGCTCTGAGTAGGCCTCTGAGCCCCTTGGCACATTCAGAGGTTTCCACCTCCCTGGCTTGAAGGACTTGGAAAGGTGAACGACTAGCAGGTCTATGATTAGTGCAATCCATCCATCCATTCACCCACTCAACCCATCCATCCCACCCATCCATCCATCCACCCACCCATCCACCCATCCATCCACCCATCCATCCATCCATCCTTCTATCCATCCATCCATCCACCCATCCATCCATCCATCCATCCATCCATCCATCCACCCATCCATCCATCCATCCTTCTATCCATCCATCCATCCACCCATCCATCCATCCACCCATCCATCCACCCATCCATCCATCCATCCACCCATCCATCCATCCATCCATCCATCCACCCATCCATCCACCCATCCATCCATCCATCCTTCTATCCATCCATCCATCCACCCATCCACCCATCCATCCATCCATCCTTCTATCCATCCATCCACCCACCCATCCACCCATCCACCCACCCATCCACACCATCCATCCACCCCATCCACCCACCCATCCACCCGTTCCACCCATCCACCTCCATCCATCCATCCATCCATCCGTCCGTCTGTCTGTCCGTCCATCCATCCACCCATCCACCCCATCCACCCACCCATCCACCCCATCCACCCACCCACCTGTCCACGCCATCCACCCACCCATCCACTGAGGATATGCTTGCCAAATGCCAGCCCCTCCGCTGAGCAGGAACCCACAGGGGTAAAGCGTCCTGTCCTTGTCCATCAGGAGCTCGCGGCCTCATGGGACCTCACGGGGGACAGCTCTCTGATAGTTGGTCGGGAGCAGTGACCTGGAGTAACTCATGAAAAATGGTTACTCCCTCTCAGGACAGGGGGACCCCCTCAGTCAGGACCTGTTCCCAAGAGCCAGTGCCTGTGGTCAGCCACATCCTGACAACAGCCTCATCCCTGTTCAGAGCCATCCTGGCACACAGAGAGACCCAGAATGAGAGGCTGTGGGCATGGGTGGGGGAGAAGAGGCACAGATGGACCGGCTTCGTGGCGAGGGGTGTTTAGTGCCCAGGTCGTGGAGTTAGGCCGGGCTGAGTGCCCATCGAGGCTGACCCAGTCTCGAGGCTCCGTTCCCGGGCTGTGAAGCCAGGTAAGGAGCTCTGCCTTCTCTGAGCCCCAGTTTCCTCCTCTGTGAAATGGGCACGATGAGGCACCAGCGTCCCTGGGCCATCTTGGAGATCCAGTCCAGCTGAAGCATGAAGGCCGGGGCCTGGCACGCAGTCGGCTGGGCTCCACGTCAGCTGCGGCGACACCACCGGCTCTGGCGTGGCAGGGAGCCGTCCTGGTCAGGAGGATGGAAAGCTGCCCTGGGTCGGGCCCCGCCTCAGTGCCAGGCCGTTCCAAGGGCCGCACCATGTCTAATGGCACGGTGGTGCTCCACCCACCCTGCAAGGTGGGGCTCACTGTCCCCACCAGCTCTGTGAGGCGGCTGACTTGGAATTGGATTCAGAACACAGGCAAATGGCAGGGCCCGCGGACTGGCCTTGGGTCCCCGCCTGGGCAGTGGGCTCCAGCTCCCAGCCCCGGCCCCCATCTGCCCTGCAGCCTCAGAGAGCCTCTCTCCAGGCCAGGCCAGGCTGCTGGCACAGAGCGAGGCTGACCTCCCAGTTCCCCCAGAGACTCGCGGTCATCCCCGGAGCCCCTGCCCTGTGCCCTCCTGGGCCCCTGCGCGGGTGCTGGCTGGGTACACGGGAGTGGGCTGGTCAAGGAAACCCACCCTGCCTGTTCTATCCTTGGAACCGGGTCCCTTTTCCTTTACAAACCGTTCCTCTCTGACCTGCGTCCTCCATGAACTCTAACCAGGCAAAGGCATGTCTATACGGAGGCTCAGAACCTTGTCACCTCAGAGCAGACTGAGCCCCCACACAGGCAGCAAGCCTTCGGGGTTGTTCCAGATGAGTGTCTGTTCCCCAGGGTGCTCGTCTTGCCACCCCCTGCCCCCTGCCTCCTGCGTGCCTCGCTCTTTCTCCCTTCCACACTCCGGCCCACTGCTCTGTTCCTCGCACGTTCTTCCCTGCCATGGGACCGTGCCCACCACTGTGCCCTTCTCACTTTTTCTTACAGCGACTGATACCACCTGTACTTACCTAGTGAACGGGGCCCTCACTGGTACCCCGCCAGTCACCCGCCTGAGGGCTGAGGCACCCCTTCTGTTTATCCACCAACCTAAGTCCCTCTTTGCTTGCAGAGACAGTCACTCCCTGAACTTATGGCCCGCTCCCCAAAGATATTCAGGGGTTTGTGATAGGGAGCCCTGGGGGTACCTGTATATGGGACAGCGAGGGCCAAGAACAGCGTCTGCTACATTCTGTCATTACCTTTTACAGATGAGGAAACAGGCTCAGGGAGATTAAGCAGCTTCCCGAAGGTCACGCAGCCATCGAGGGGCATGTCAGGGCTGGTCTCAAGGTCTCTTGGGCTCCAACGCTCGTACCACCACCCTCGGGAGGCAGGGCATCAAGGGGAGGGTCCAGTGGTGCAGCCGCTCTGGAAAAGGGCTTGGCAGTTCTTTACAGTGTTAGACACAGAGACTCACGTGACCCGGCAGTGCCACTCCCAGGTGCCCAAGAGAGCCAAAGACATCAGTTCACACAATGTTTCTGGCCGCGTTGTTCACAACAGCCAAAGAATGAAAATAACCCACATGTCCTGAACTAATGAAAGGATAAACAAAAGGTGCTCTAGCCATACAATGAAGTATGGTTTGGGCATAAAAAGGAGCCATGTAGTGGCCCACGCTACCGCTTGGGTGAACCCCGAAAACATTCTGCTGATGAAAGAAGCCAGATGCAAAGGTCACATACTGATGATTCCATACTTACTACGTCCAGAGTCGGCAAATCTGTGGAAACAGAAAGTAGACTAAGGGTTGCCAGGGGCTGGGGGACTTGAGGGATACACAGAGACTGATAAAGGGTGTGGGGTTTCTTTGCCAGGTGGTATGTTCGAACACCGATGTGGTGACGGCTGCACAGTGCCATGAATGCAAACTCTTTGAATTGTTCGCTGTAATTGGGGATCTGCGTGGTAAGCAGATTGCATGTCGATAAACTTGATTGTCACAGCCACGTCTGCAGGTTTTCTGTGAGAGTGGGACTAGTGGAGCCCTCCCCACTCTTTGGGGATAAGTGGGGGACAGGAAGTGAGGGCTGCATTGTCCCCAGTGGTCTGGGAGGGCACCGGGTCGCAGTGCTGGAACCCACCAGCAGATGGCAGCGGCCTCGGGGACGAGCCCCAGGTGGTCCTCAGTAGGTCCTCAGCAGGGTACGCAGCAGGCGCCCGCTCTTGCTGACTGGACGGGAGACAGAGCTGCTTGCCTGCAGAGAACAGGGTTATCTGTACAAAATGATGACAGTAAGAGCGAGAAGGAAAAAGAGAATGCGTGTGGGCCACTTCCCCGGCTTGGCGCTGTGTCGCGATCTCCGCCCAGCTCTCTGAGGCGGGTTCAGATCTCCCCACGTGATAGATGAGAAGCCAAAGCTCAGGGAGG